CCACGGTGAAGCAATGGCTGTGGAATAGCACCAAACACATAACACTCAAATTCTGTTTGGAGCTATTCCAATCTTATCATCTGGCAAAGTCTTCCATGCTATTCCCCCTCGTTGCCCTCCCTCCTGACACATGCATGGCACAAAGGAACCAAGGTTCTAAATGAATACAAGAAACAAACCACGACTGGCCCACTGGGTTAGGACTCAGAACTGAGATGAGGGCTGCAGTGCTCACTCTAGGTCAAATGTGGGTTCTGTAAGTTCACATGTCACTCTACGACAGCATGGGCAGGAACTGAAGTGCATTCCCTCCAAACAAAAGAGCCAAGAGGCTCACAGAACTCTATGTCATCTCTGAAACCATTAACACAGAAACGCATCAGTGATGGTTTCCAATGTGTTAGTCCTGATAACACATGGCAAGAGCCCTTCAACAAGACCACAGAAAGAAGACAAACCCACGGAGGTTCTCAGATCAATCGGAGGGGGTGGTAGCAAATTCTTTGCTTCAGAGTTTCATTGATTTCTTAATCTGGGGAGTGAGATCTTCCATCCTCTGGTTCCTTCCCCAGATGCCCATGACCCTGGGGTTAGGCCAGAAACCCAATCTAGTTCTCCCACATGGGTGGCAGGGACTCAGGTACTTATATCACCCACTGCCTGCCACAGCGCACGGTAGCAGGAAGCGGAGCTGGGACTCAAATCTTGGCTCTGTGACTTGGGATGTCAACATCCCAGAATGGGATGCAGCAGCTTATCCTCTGCACGAAGTGCCCACCCTGGGGACTGCCTTTTGGGCCAGCCCAAAGTTCTGTGTGTCCACTCTGCTACTCAGGGGACAACAACATTCTTCTGCATGAGGCTCTTGTGCTTATCAAACACATTAACATAATGGAAAGTGCAGGAGATAGTCCAGTCCAGTGGATGCTCTGACATGCGCACACCACCACTCTTTGTCACAACCACTGCTTTCCTGGAGCGCCACACTTGTCCAAAATCAATCTCTACCCCTTTTATGACAAAAAAAAAAAAAAGCCATAATGAATATAAAATAACCACTTGGAGCATTCCACTAATCAAGAATAAGAAAACACTCAAAGTACTCCTGAAAAAGAGTTTGTTCTCAGAATCCTAAGAGGAGTTTCAGCTTCTCCAGGAAGAAAACTCTAAGGGAAGTTTTAAACTAAAAGTCTCAACTCAACTGGGAATTAATTTCATCCAAACCCCAGTACTTCACAAGGAACTACGGTAAATGGCAGCGAGGGAGAGCAACCTCATGAGGTAGCTTTCTTAACCAAAGTGAGAATATATTGCTATTTTCAGTTATCAAACTAAAGAGAAAAAATAGTTTGTGAAGCTATGACCCAGAGCTGCTGAGGCCCAAACAAAGCCACAGTCTTCACACACGTGCCAGTGAGAGAGCAAGCTGGCACAGAGCCACAGCCAAACAGGTGAGCAGCTTATAGGAAGCACCGGCAAAGGTTCCTGCCACTCACCCAGCAGTTTCATGGCTGAGAATCCAGCCTAAGATGTCTCAGCACAAGGCAAAGTGACACCCACCCTCACCTTCACAGCAGTGAGCATGATGGCAGGAGTGGAAGACAAGAAACAACAGAAGGCCTGACAGTCATTGTTTCACTGCTGTTATGCCAAGTCAATGTTCTCTGGTGTGGGCAGTAAAATGCTGAAGAGAAATATGAAGAAAGTCAAGATTGTTCCAATGTCGATATGGAAAACAAATCATACAACACAGTTGAGTACCTATAGTGATCGCAACTGGAATAAGGCAGAATGAAGACGTGCAAGATGCTATTAGTGGACATGTCAGCGTGCACACTGGGTGAGTCCTTTGCTTTCCCGATCCCATCCACCAGTTTTTACAGTATCTGATTGGCTGCACTCATGACTAGGTGCTTCTTCCTGCTTGGCGAAAACATCTTTTCAGCCTTGGGCACAGGGGAGCCACTCACACTGTGACCTCTCTGCAGGTTCTTTTCTTGCTTAGGGAAGACCCATTCCAGAGAAGCCGAAAAGGGCTCACGCCTCATGAGGGAGACACAGAGTTACTATCCCCCTCGAAATAGATGCTATGGATTCCAGTTCAGCCACTGGCATGCGTGTCCTGGCCCATCCCAGAACTTTCAGCCCTTCTCTTCAGTTCAAGACAAAACCATCAGTATGTTTCTATCACCTAACTATTAATAAACACCTAACATGTAAATCCCAATATCCAACAAAAGAGAAATGCTTAAATTACAGTAAGTATTAAGGAATCTCGCTAAATGACAAGCATGAAGGCTCAGCATCACTAGGTGGTAAAGGGATTCTAACGTCCAGTAGTCACCAAGAGGTGGTTCAATCTCACATCACCATGACAACAACCCTGCAGAAGGCTCAGCAGTAACATTTTTTACAATCCACCTGCCAGAGGTACGCACTGAGCTACCACTTTCCACATGCTAACACTTGTCAACAATGCTAAGTATCAGAAACCTAATTATACCTATTTCAGAGAGGAGAAATTGAGGCACCAAGAGATTAAATTGTTCTCCTGAGTCGTTCCCTTATGGCTGGTATTTAGAACATTCTAGAATCTTTCCCAATCACATTGCCCCCGCCCGCCCCCCCGCCAAGGACACAGGGAAAGTTCAGGTATGAACAGAGATGGTATTTCTCCAAGGCTCACATGAGGAAGAAATATGGAAGAAATATGTGAAAGAATTTGTTACAGTAAAGACTTGTTACTTCCCTCTATCATCTAAATCTCACAGTACTTCTCTGGTTTTAGAATGTGAAGTTAAGAAACACAGCAAGAGAGGTGAGGCCAATATAAGAGTATGCCTATATGGTTCTTAAAGTAAGTCTGGATCAGAAGATGGAATAATTGCCAGACAAATCTTCACCTTGGGGGTTAAGGACAGGAAACGAGGAGAAAGAAGTGATGGAAGGCAGCCAGGAATTAAACCAAGCAGCCCCAAGCAGCTCCAGCACCACCTCATCCAATGTTGTTCTCTCCCCACCACGTCTTCTGGTTTGAGTAGAATATTCTCGTGATTCTAAACAAGGCTGAACTGACAGAATGTCACAGAAGACACTGGGTCACGTGGCTGCTAGAACCAAAACAAAGGGTTTCATCTAATCCTAAATTTGTTCACGAATTCGTCACAAGCCTACTTTCCCAGCTCCGCTTACCATAACCTGCGCCACCTGGAGTCAGATGCACGATGCACCTTGAGAAAGGGCACTGCACGTCCTTGCAGAGTGTTCTAGAATTCTCAGAACAGGACAGAAGGCTGAGCTCTCTCTGCTCTCTCACTGTAAATGTTACACGTCTAGCAATTTTGGAACCACGCTAGAAATAGAAAAAAGCTACAAAGGACACGCCATGACAAACCAAGTCTGAAAATGTGAAAATGCACTAGGCACAATGACCTATTCTGGAAAGCAGGCCCCTCCCCAAGAATCCCTCCACTAGTACTCTTCCCAACATTTTTGAGGAGTGTACGAGCAGGCACTCCTGTTCATCAGGAGCATCAGATCCCAAAGCTGGACAAGAGCTCAGTTCCAGAATGAGCAGTTTTCCCAAGGGAGCCCTACCAAAGAGAAGGAGTGGCTGGCTCCTCTAGAGGGTGGGCTGAAAGCCCAAGGTTGCTCCCTATACATCCATAAACTTGATTTCAAACAACCACAGCAGCCACTAAGAACAAAGAACAAATGATTATCCTGCTCTCAACCATTTCCCCCTGCAGGCTCCCAGACAGGCAGCAAGTTTAGAAACGGAACACACAGCTGTCCTGACACAGAGGCTACGTGTCAGATGCCCAAAGCCCATAAAAACAAAGAACCACTGTGTGGGGAGTGGTGCGCCAGATCTGACCCGATGCATATGAAAGGCCGCTGCAAGATGGCGGCTAGCCCAGGGCCAGGAGGCGGGGTTGGTCTCGCCAGTAGGCAAACAGGAAGTCACGGGGATAGGCTGATGCCCCACTGTGATTATGTCATTGCTACCGGCCTATCAGGTAGCCCCCAGTGGACCCACGGGAAGAAGTGATTGGTGGAGAGCTGTATACAAGCAGCCCACTATTGGCAATAAAGGGTCCTTCGTTCGTTCATGTTCCGGTTGCAGTGGTGATTCCTGTTTTTCCAGACCCTTGAGAGTGAGCCTCGTTATTTAGTGTCGCTGCTGGATGGTGACACCACTGTCCAGACGTACGGCCCCAAGTGGCTGTCCATCAGACATACCTGTGCTCCCCACTCACTTCCCACCTGCCAGGATGCCAGGGTGGATGACCACATGAAGTCCAGTGGCCAAGTTTACTCTGCAAAGACAACCTTGGGGAGAACAAGGACTGCATCTGCAGGGACAGGAGGTGTGGTGACCGAATTCCCTGTACCCTCTCAACTCAATCCCAGTGCCCTTTCCTGTGGAGTATCCATCACCAGTCCAAATCCCATGCATGTTTCAGGGGCACAGGCAAAGTGAAAGGCTCAGTGAGAAGGTGGGCAGGGGAAGATTGCAAAGCCCCCAGACCTCTGGTGTGCCCTTGGAAGAGGATGCCCCCAGCACAGGAGAGGCCCATGCCCCTTTGTATAGGGATACAACTTACTATGAATTCAGTACCCACAGGGTGCTGGAAATTGGGCAGGATGTTGTGCCCCTACTAACTGCCGAGCAAATGCCACCATGAGTGCATGCATGGACCTTGGGGACAGCCAACCTTGGGGTCCAATGCTAGGTCTGTTCCTGGCCAGCTATGAGCCCCACAGTGACATAGCCTATGGAGGTCTCATGCTACCATGACAACACCAAGACTGAGGCTGAGAAGATCTCCTGCTTTCCCAGGCTCTGGCTTCACCAACACAAGATTAGCCTCTGCACAGATCATGCTGCCATGAAAGCAGTAAGCAGTATGTGCAGGGTCCAAGCCAGCTCAGGTCTTCCTCCATCAAAACCCCAGCACTGCCCCAATGCCACGCCCCAGCCAGGCCACGCCACTCACGGCACTCCTTCTCATCACTCTTGTCGAAGCAGTCAGGCAGCCCATCGCACTGCCAGGCGCCCGGAATGCACCGCCCATTGCTGCACATGAAGTTGCCCGGGATGTTGCACTCATTGGTGAAGTTGTTCCCGGGGAGCAGCTGGCTCTCTGTGGAGAGAGGGGACAGGAGGTCAGACACGCAGCAAGGGCACAAGCTCCCTCCCCACTGAGAGGACTCTGCTCCATACAGGTGAGGATGCTGGCAAGCAACTTCACCTCCTAAGCTCTGGCTTCTTCATCTGTGAAATGGACCGATAATCATACCTCTTCTGCAGGTCTAACAGGAAAATATAACTGCAAACAAAGAGCTGTGTGCCATCCACAATAAATAAAATCGAATTGCAGACCTTTGGGTGGCACAGCTTAGAAATATGCCCTGAGGAGAAGATTCTGCTAACCAGAAGTACAAGGGCCAAGAGCAAAAGAAGAGAGGGGCACAACGAATATTACTGAAGACTCTCCTTACGAGGGAGAAAAGGCATTTACCAACCTCAGAGTTAATTGAGGAATACAGAGGAAATGGGGGATCCTGAATTCAAAACACTTGTTATAAAGCTTTTTATCAACAACAAGAAGTACAGGCAGGAATTTAAGGAATATGTAACACAGGATATAGCAACAGTGAAACAAAATCCAGCTAAATTATTGGAAAAGAATGACTTGATCAAGCAAATTTAAAATTCCATGGAAAGTCTCAATAACAGAATGAAGGAGGCAGAAGAATCTCAGAATCGGAAGATATTTCTTGTTACAATGGAGAAACAATTAAAAAGCTGGAAGCAGAGCAGGGTCAAACTAAAAAAAGTATTCAAGAACAAGACATGCTATTAAAAGGCCAAATGTAAGAGTTATGGGAGTTCCAGAAAGTGCAGCAAGAAAAGCTGCGTTTAACATGTATTTAATGAAATAATAAAATAAACTGTCCCAAATCCAAAGAAAGAATTGGGAACAACATGCAGGAGGGGCACAGAACTCCCAATAGGGTTGGCCAAAAGTGATCTTCACCACAACACATGGTATTCAAGCTCTCTTTAATCGAACATAAGAAAAAAAGAACCTTAAATGTGCACATGAAAAAAATAATCAACTGACATATAGAAAAAAGGCAATTAAATTCACAGGAGACCTCTCACAGGAAACTTTACAGGCCAGAGGGAATGGAGCAACATATTTCAGATTCTAAAAGCAAAACATTGTCGGCCCAGGATAATCTACCCAGCAAAACTTTCCTTTGTCTTTGAAAATGGAATCAAATACTTCCACAGTAAAGAAAAGTTGGAAGAATATGCCTCTTCCAAACCTGCCCTACAAAGGATACTTAAAGATGTTGTCCTGACAGAGAAAAGGAATAGCACCCACCAAAACCAAAGGCAAATGCGAAGACCACCCCAATAAAATAACAACAGAAGACTAAATCAATGAACAACCCATTGCTAAATGACAGGGCCAAATTACCACCTGTTCATATTAACCCTGAATGTAAACGGCTTAAAATCATCAATCAGGGCCTGGCAACGTGGCCTAGTGGCTAAAGTCCTCGCGTTGAACGCACCAGGATCCCAAATGAGTGCTGGTTCTAACCCCAGCAGCCCCACTTCCCATCCAGCTCCCTGCTTGCGGCCTGGGAGGGTAGTGGAGGATGGTCCAAAGCCTTGAAACCCTGCACCCACGTGGGAGACCCAGAAGAACTCCTGGCTTCTGGCTTCGGATCAGCACAACACTAGCTGTTGTGGTCACTTAGGGAGTGAATCATTGGACAGAAGATCTTCCTCTCTATCTCTCCTCCTCTCTGTATATCTGACTTTATAATGAAAAAATAAATAAATCTTTTTTTTAAAAAAATCATCAATCAAATTTCATAGGTTAGCAGACTGGATTGAAAACACAAAACCTACCTATTTCTTTCCTACAGGAAACATATTTCACCAACAAATATCTGGGAGGGGAGAGGGAAAGGGAGGAGAAACCCCAGTGCCTATTAAACTCTGTCATAAAATAAAATATTAAAAAAAAAAGATCAGGGAGAACTATATTGCATGGATTTTGCTGTTTTTATTTTTAGTTTCATTTCTTCAAAACACTTTTTTTCTCATTAAATTCTTCACTAACTCATAGATCATATAGTAGCATCATTTTCTTCAAGGTTCTTGATTTTCTGTTCATTCCTTCAGTGACACAGTAGTCATTCAGTAACATGTTATTTAACTTCATGGCATTGTAAACTTCCTCCTGTTTGATTTTGTTTTGTGGCTTTTCATTTAAAGGGATGTACAGTAATTGCATAATGGAGACTATCATATCTAGTGGCATGTTGGTTAACTTCATGGCATTGTAAATTTCTGGTTTTCTTCCTGTTTTTGATTTTGTTGCTGCTTTTCATTGGGGGGGGGGTGATTTACAGTGATTGGGTAGTGGAGACTGACATGTCCAGATGTGAGGAGACATTGCAGTGTGCATCTCTACTTCCGGATCAAGGATGGACTCCCACTGAAACTGTCGGATGTCTCTTGACAATGGGACGCTAGACTCTCTGCTATTGTCCATGCCCACAATGATGGACTTATGACTGTTTCTAAGGAACCATAGTTCCTTAGAACTATGCTATTGTAATAATATAGGAAAACTCAGTGTGTGTACATTAGAGGGTAGGGGATTTGGGGAGGGATTGGAGAAAATCCCAGGGCCTTGCAGCATCTGAATCATAAAATGATAACAACAACAGCAACAAAAAGAATACAAGTAAAAAAAAAGGAGAGAGAGAACCAAATCCCAACGTTTGAGTTTAAAAGTGCAGAACACCAAGACCCACCCAAAACTGCCAACCGAAAGGCTGAAACCCAAAAGAAAGGGCCAAGATGATGTCAGTAGGGGCAGAATACTGAATTCATCTACCCATGGATCAAGACAACTAAGGCAGATTTCCCAGAGAACTAAGACCTGCTTCATCAAGTCGTTTGAAGTTAAATAATCTTGGGAGAAAAAATGAGGAAGGAAAACCAGTCCCTTGGCACCACAGAGCTCCAGGGATCCCTCTGGAATCATTTCCTAAGCACATATGGGACATTTACAACTTGTGCCCGGTCTTAAAAAGCAAAGCTAGGATCCTTCCCCCAGACTGAAAAAACACACATTGACATTCCAAAAATTTTACTGCCATGTACTGCTAGAAGAACAGGGGCGTTCCACCACTGCTGGGTGTATAGCAGCAGAGAAGGGCCCATTTTTCATAAGCATTTCCAAAGAACTGCATTTCTGGGTCTCAGTATTTCAGATCCCTGGCCTCACATGTTCTTTCTCATGAGTGTACTTTGAATGTACCACAAGGAAAGCCCTGATATCTACCAACTGGGTTTCCTAGTGAATTCCTACACACCCTTTAGCAAACAACTTGTGTGTTGCCTTCCCTCTGAAGTATCCACTGTCTTCTCTAAACACAAATGAACACTTACTCTATCAGCTGGTGATAAGAGACACCAAAAGTATTTTTGAACTTGAACAAGTGGACAGCAGCCAATCAGAGTGGGCACAGTCACAGGCAAGCATAACAAAGCGGCCCTCATTCCCTGGATACTCCCTTGAAACAGAGCAGCATCACCATACTAGATTAATAACACACCTGTATGTCTCTATAAAACAAGCGATCATGCTCATTGGAGAATTCCAGAGCACCAGTGAGATTCTGCTCTGCCTTCTACTAGCATCAGAACCTACAAATCTCCATATCCTCTCCTCATTCCATCACCCTCTACAGATGGCCAAGCCCCAAGATGCCATCGCCACAGCCATAATTCCAGTCCAAGTAAGGATTCTTGTTCTGCCATGAACCTCCTATATGGGCTTTCTGCCTCCCATCTTATCCACTTTTCCCCCTGTGGCCAGAGGAGCATTTTCAACAGCATGGCATTTCCTTACTTCAAAGAGCCATGGAATAACTGCCCAATATTCTTAAGATAATCTTAAAATAAAGGAAAGAGGTAGCATGTGCAGTGGTAGGATATACTGAGCTGAGTTAGCCAAGACTTGGTGCAGCAGGTCACAGCCCATAATCTGCAAGGGTATGGAATAAAAGCATGCATCTCTGATTGGTAAAAACTGCACACATGTTGGGTTACTATCTCTTTTATGCTCTTTTATGCTAAGGCCCAATCAGACATTACCTATCAATCATGGTACCCTGTTTCACGAAGCCCAGATTCAACATCATTCCCCTAAGACTGGTCTCCCCAAAACCTCCAACAGCTTGGAAAAGAACATGAAACATTCACCCTTTGCAGGTACAAGATCCAGAAGAGGAGCGATAGGAGAAGAGCCTAGGAGAGCTGGTCATGCCCTGAGTCCCAGCCACATACCAAAGGCTTCAACAGATTCCTAACAACTGCTCGGGGCTTCACTTACACGCAACATGCTCCTCAAGGATCCAGAATGGAACTGTCATCCTGTTTGGTTTTGAAACCACTTAGACTTGTTTTTGTGGCACTAACTCCTGGAAGGCAAGCCCTCTGGAAAAGTCACTGCAACTGTGGAATCTTGTTTGACAAACAGATTTCCGGAGCCAGAAAACTGGCCGGACTAGACTACAAAGTACATGCTCTGACAGTCAATAAGGCCAGTGGCACAAAGAGTCAACAAAAGAAGGAATGGATGCAGAGAGCTAAGTACTGCGTCCACCAGATGCAGGTGGTCCAGCCAGCCACAGGGCTCCTGGGCTTAGCAAGTGGTAACAGAGGGGTGCTCCTCTGAATAACTCCACAAGGATGCAGGGGGTGTTCAGAGTTGAGCTTGGGTAGGAATGGGGCACTTTGTTTCTTCCAAGGGTTATGTGGATATTTATAACATCATGCGAGGACCACACACAATTATCAACTTAAAAATAGCCTGATACAGATTTCGGGAATTTCCAGTCCTGCCTGCAGCTGTGTGGATGGGGCCAGATCAGATGATTCTGTGGCCTTGCTATGGCCCCTGGGTCAGACATTCCTCCCTCCTGTCCCTCTCTCCCCTCACCACAAGACATAATCTCAAAATGAGAAGAAATTGAGGACAAAAACAATGAATCTTGCCCCCTAAGATGCCTAACAGGGGGCAATTTGGGAACCTATAATAGTGTC